GGGCCGGGGCCGGGGCCGGGGCCGGGGCCAGGCCTAGGCCTAGGCCTGAAGTGAGGAAAATGGCGTTGAGCTAGGCAAGGGACTGCCGAGAGGGCACTGTTACCCTGCAAGGGATGTGGCTGGGAATTATACTGGTGGTCCTTCCAGCCACCAGACTGGGTGGACTGGTATTTAACTGCTATACGCACAGAGATCAGTTTCCTGAGTTAAGGCTGCGAGCGTTATATGTAAAAAAACTCCCAAACCCTCGCAACAGAATCAAGGAGTTTATTGATTTCGCACAACAGCATAAATTGTAAAAAAGAAAAGACTGATTTAAAGCATGAAATGCTACACGTGACTGCTATGATTATTAACAAGCGGTTGAGGGGCAGTTCAGGTGCATTTGCTGGCAGCCGTGTTTTTGCTTAAACATCTCAGCACCAGCTTTAGGAAAAATGAGTGAAGCAGTTAGTGCTCGTGGTTGGGCACATGATACCCAAGGTGACTCCCAAAAGGGAACTGGGCAAAGAAGGCTCTGGCCATTTCTTCGATCCTGTTGTAGGCTCCCAGGGTCCGGAAATATTCCACGTAGGACCAGAAATCATTGGATGAGAAGGGCCAGTACGGCAAGGCTGCAGATCCCTGGTAGAGATCTAAAATTAAATAAAAAGCAGATTAGTATAATATGAAGAATTTTTGTTGAAAGCTTGGGCCTGGGAGCCAACATGGTTTGGTGTCCTATGTCCTCTTGGGGGGCTTGTGGGCTCCTCTGGCAGGAGAGAGGCTGGCAGAGCCATTGAGCCCTCTGTGCCCGGCTCCGCAGAAGGTGGCTGTTCACGTGATGAAGCTGGTGCCCTCTGCTCCAGCTGCACCAGGAATGATGGAATGGGACAAGACGGAGAGCAGGAATGAAGGGACACCATCGGCATTTGGGACAATTCAAGAATTCCCTGGGCTGCTTTAATTTCTAGAAGGCAGATGGGTATTTAAAAGCAAGGAGCAATTGCAATTTAAAGCCATATTTGCCCGTTCCTCCTCCACGCCATTTCCTCTGCCTAATATAAAAATACAAGGAATAAGGTGCCATCATCTATGCTGTGCCCCTGCAGCTGCCTGCTCTGCCAGGGAAAAGAGCTGGGCAGTTTTTCGCCCACCATCTCAGCACAAAGGCAGCCCAGCTGAGTATAGCAGAAGCCAGGGGTGCAGCATCTGCCCTGGGCTGCCGGTGACTGGGTCCGTGCTGCCTTGGCATTGCCTGGGACCGCAGAGTCATGCCTCTTCTCAGCGGCCCATAGGAAACAGGCTAAGAAAATGGAGAGGAAAGGCATTGCCACTTGGAAGACAGCTGCATTTGTGCCTGCTGTAGGAATATCTGAGAAAATGTGAGATTTTGAAATTGAAACAAGTCACCTTGGCTATTTCAATTGAAACAAGATTTCCAACTCAGCAGGAAAACAAAAGCAATTCTGAAAATGCAGGAGCTGACCACCCTTGGGCCCAAATCTGGGCAAACACAGAAGCATATACAAAATGTAAACACTTGCTGAGACCACATAGTTACAAATGTCTTTCTGTGCAGCAAAGCTAAACCCAGTATTTTGATTTCATTTAAAGCCCATTTAAGTAAATGGGAGCCATTCTACTCACCAGGCTCAGCTTGGGACCAGGGTCTTTAGTGGGAATTAAGAGCCTTCAACAATCCTATTGTCAGACCTTAATTTTACAGAGTAAAGTTTGCAGCGCGCAGGCACAGATGGCATATAACAAATCAAATGAACCAGCCAAATGCTGTCTGCAGAGGAGGATTCACTGTTTATACCAGCTGACCTTAGATTCACTTTGCAGTCTGCTGCTTGGCCCAGTGTGAAAGAAAACCGTAATTGTTGGTAATGAGAGCAACAGGATACTGCCTGAACAAGGTTTTATTTTTAGATTGACACACACTTTCCTGACTGTCTAAGAGGTTGACACAGAAATACTTGCTGTGCACAAATACAATAGCGCCCTTAAACTTGTGAAAACACAGATGATGCATTCAAAAGATTTTAGAGCCATAAGGAAATATAATGGAACATATGGGAAAAACGTTTTGAATTAAAAGTAATCATATTAACCCTTATTCCGCATATATATTTCTACTTTCCATATCTGTTATAATGCTCTCCCTGCATATTTGTATCTGTGCACTCAGGATGCTGCTGGCTGCCCTGCTGGTTATACTAACCGAGATGTACACCAGCAATAGCAGTACCTTGTTATTGCAGATACTTCTATGCAACTTTGTTTTCAGAAAGAATTCTGTCTGAAAACACCAGAGAGAGGTTAACTAATATAATCATCAGTAAGCCAGTGTAAACATCATTAGGATGCTGAGGGTTTTTTTAATCAAAGGCAAACACTAATCCAATGGGCTAATCGTGCAAAGTGACACGAACCACAGGGTAGCTGTGCTAAGGGATTTATTCCAACATTTCTTTAATTGGATTTGTGGCAATTTGTAAATTTTAAGCTTTTTGTCATGGAAGTCAGTATTTCTTGCCAATAACTAGACACGCATATAGTATTTCTGTTCAGGACAGACAAAATTCTCAGATGCCTAATATGTTTATAAGTCTGGTGCTTTCCAGTTATGATTTTGTACAACAGAATTAGTGACTTGACCATAACCTCTTTTCGTTTTAAGGCTGCAAGTATATTAGCTCTATTATTAGACATTAATATGTCAGCTTTTAATAAATTTTAAAGAAATTTCTAAAAATTCACTCTTCTTTCTCCACCAGAATGAGATGAAAGCACTTCCACAGCCCACTGAGGTTAGTAAGCATTCCTGCCAAAATCACTGCTGGGGATCAGGTCTGGGAGTTACAAATGACTCTTCTAATTGTTAGTGATACAAAGGAAAGAAAAACATTAAGAATTACCATCTCCATCCTGGATTGATCGGGCATCTGTAGATGAAGAGGAAACTCATCAGTACCAGCCCCCACACAGAAGGACTTTCAGTTAATAAAACGTTTACTGTGTAGCCAGAAGCTGACAAGTTCTTTAATGCACACGTAGGACCCTCTGTACAGCCAAATGTTTTTTGTTTCTTGAACAGCTGAATAAGGAATTCCGTTTGCAGTCACTCAGTGCTACAAACCAAATACTTTTAACTAACAGCCAGCGCAGTTGTGATTAATACATGAGCGATATCTGATACTAAATAGAAGATACTGTATAAGTAACAAAATATTTCTGGCTGCTTGAAAAAATAAATGAGAATAAATTCAGCAGTAATCTTACCTGTTAGGATGTTCATCAGCATACAGAAGAAAAGTAAGCCAATAAATGTCATCTTTTCTGCGTGTTTCTGAAAAGTAATCTGTACAGCTGGGGATTATTACAAGAGATTAATAATTATACAAAGTCCGTTACTTCTTTTATTAGACAAATATGTTACGAAACAGATTCTAATTAGTAATTTAGGCATAACAAGATCCAATTACATTTCTTTACAGTTTCTGAACTGCAACACAGAGTATTAAAAGAACCACAGTCCTGAAGTGTGTATTGGTATTTTATTTTTAGGTGGCATAAATCCAAAAGGCTCCACTGAACTGACATGAAATTAAGTGTCTTTGGAAATATTTTATTTTGTGGTTAATTTAATTTCACTTTAGAAATTACCTCTCTCTCTCTCCCCTTTTCTTCTTCTTGCAGTAGTAAAGGTCTGTAGCTCCAAGTCGGCTACAAAATTCCGAAAGGATTTCTTTTGCTGTAAAACAGCAGCGCTGTTTAAGGAAGGGTGGGGGGAAAAGGAGATAAACGTCACTGAGTTACTACACCAATCTGCTTTTGTTGCCTTCACACAGAGGTTTTTTTACTGCTCACTTTTGCATTATATTTCAGCACTGTCCGTGGAAGAGACAGTGGACGGTTTCAGAGAGGGTATCAGGAACTTTGGCAATAACGCTTCTGTATTTTGAAGACAGAGGGAGAAAATCCAGAAGCAAATTCAGTGATTATTACCTTTGCTGCCCTCCTGATTTTCTTTTTTCTACCCCTTCAGAAAAACAGATTTTAAGAAATGTTATTTGAGCAAATTGCTAAGAGGATATTGAGTTCCCTCTCCAGCTGAGCCACAAAAACCACAGACACTTGACACTGATTTATGTTCTTACTTGAGATCCTTAAAATCTAGATCTTAAAGTGTACATAGGCACCAAGTGCCCACTGAAATCAACTGGCTTACATTAAGCAAAGAAGTAGGTCCCCAATGACCTCAGCCATGGTGATGGTGCAGGTACTGCAGCTTTCAAAGAGGGTCGATAAGGTGCATTGAAATGCACTTTCACATTATGCTGATTTCCTGGAAAGATTCCTCTCCCAATGCCAAGCAGGTGCTTTGGGCTCCAGTCTGTGCAGGTTGCTGAATGGATCCAGCACTTCGAGAAGCTCGGAGGGGAGACACAGTTTGGAGAATATTCAGTCGACGTGTGCATCTTGGTTGATTTACTTTTAGCACAAAGTCCTGATGGCAGCAGGTGTGGTCAGGGACTAAGGTGTAGCAGAAAGAGCTCTGCGACTCATGGGGTGATGTAGGGATTTCCATGCTTCTAGAAGACGTGGCTGTTCAGGTTGTGTTGCCAAACGTGGCAGCTGTT